GAACGAGCTGTTGGCGCGAGGGGTGGCTTAAGCGTTCGTTAATTGGCCGCTTTACTCTAAACATTCCCGTGAAGAATTCGTCGCGCAACGCGACGTTACAGCTGAATACACTTCGCTTCTAGGGTGGGGCGTATGCACAGTCAGCCGTCGGCGAGAAATCGGAGTAAGGGATGCTTGCATTGTTGAAATTCGCGTTGGCCGTCCCATGGAACACCATTGGACGCCTGAAACGTCCCATAGGACGCATGGAACGTCCAATTTGGACGCGGGGCGCCCCATGGGACACGTGGGCCGTTCCATTGGACGCCAGCGCCAACGGATGGAAAACCCCCATCACGTGCCCAATACATTGACCTTGTAGCAAACACAACTTCATAACTGATGGCCGCATCCGATCTATGAGTGATATTGCCTACGTCTGTTTGGCTTCTGTGCGTCTAGGTGCTAAGTCGCGCAGGATGTCCAATGGGACTCCCCGCTGGGACGTCCAAGGCATCTCATCGGCCGTATACGTGGGACGTCCAATGCAATGTCCCATCAAACGTCCCACTTCGAAAGTTAGACGTCACAACTGTTCCATGGGACGTTCAACATGTCCAATTTGACGTCCAACGTGAAATTCCAGCTACTACTACTGTCGGTCATGGAAATTCAGCAGGAGTTGGTAGCACGACAAATGAAGAAACTTGACATATGCATTAGAAATTGAACAACGTACGCTGAGTTTTTCAGCCCACAATAAAAAGACTTTGATGCTGGACGGATTGGCGTATCTTATTCATTCGCGGGCGCTCACTGTATTCCCCACCTTCCGGCGCTTGCTTTTGTTATCGTATGCTCAGAAACGCGAAGAAACGAGAGAACCTTGTTCGGCACGAAGGCGGCAACATGGAGGCTGTCCTAGAACAGCTTTATTCCTGCTCTACTGCAACACGTGGATTGACGGCCTTGGCCGCCTACATGGCCATTATCCGGCTATTACGCTTCCGCCGGTGTGTATTTGCTGCCAGCACCTGTACTTACTGCTACCCATGATACCCCTTCGTCGTGCGCATGCCTCCCGACGCGGGGTTAGGAAAATTCCCCGTGGTTTCGACAAACACAATTCGTCGAAGGTCAAAAGTGACTAAGTGATGCGCTCCAAACCATGTTGTGTTCGATTCCGAATTCCGTGTGTGTTTGTTTGTACCACAGACATAGCTAATCTCAAAGGGTTCAACACTTGAAACGGCACTTGAACGCGATCCTACATGTAGTATGTTCGCCATGACTTTTTTGAGAAGCAACGTCAGACCGAGAGCAGAGGGGGGGGGATGTAATCTTACGTTTTGCATGCCTTAGCGGTTGGACCATTGACCTGGGGGGGTAGGACAAAGGCACGAAGGAAGGCACGCTTTTTCAGCGGAGGAAAATCGCACTCACAACAGTGCGCGCCGACTCTCGTGCCTTCTACTCGCCCTTGCCGTGCATGGTTCGGCGCATCAATCAGGGTCCGCGGCATGAAGCTCTCCGACGTAGATCGCGACCCTTCGGAGATTTTCCGGAAGACCACCTTGCTCGAATTTCCCGCTACGTCCCAGAAGGCGTTGGAATTAAGTAAGTAAAAAACGTCAACGATCCTTGGCGTCTGCCCGGGCTGGCCAACATCCACATGCATATGGTTTTGTGTGTTTGTTCTCCCCATCCCCGAACTGTGTTTTGAGCGAAACGTACCGCGTTCATTGGCAGCTGTCCAGCAATGATTTGTCCGGCATCAATGATAACGCTGAATGAACTGATCGGCCTGATCCGTTTATTGCCCTCGCTGTTTGCCTTTTTGCGCTTCGGCCTCTACTAGTGCTCATCCGTACCTTCGGCATCCCTTCTGCCGCCGCGGTTTTTCACAAGAGCCGATCGTTTGTCCACGCGGGCAAGAGGTAAGGCAACAACGTGTTCGATGCATGGCTAGAGATGTTTGAGAACTTGGGAGATTTACGACTTTAGGAACACTGAGAGCTGCATCATGGAGACACAGATACTGCCTTCTTCAAGTGAACCACTTGTGAATACGGCAGACTAATTTCGATTCCACCGGAGTCCGTGACACACCAGTGGTGGGCGTGGTTAGGCGACCCAAACCTCGTGGCACTTGTTCATGCTTCCGTTGGGTGTGAAACCTGCTAGAAACTCTTCAAAACATTCGGCAACCGGTGCGACACGTGTTTTTGTTCCATTTTCATGATGTACGTCTCACGTTTAATCTCTGTGTGAACATCGCGAACGTCGCATGCTGATACTCGACCGTCTGTGTGTGAAGGTACGACGACACCGACCTGCTGCTGAAGGAGTATTTCGAGAACCACACGGAGTCGGACCGCGCGAATATCGCGGTAGCCCGCGTGAACGCCATACACGAAGTGTTCTCCAGCCAGATCAGCAACGCGGACATACTCTACTCGCTTGCCTTGTTCACAACGCTACCAGCTATCTTAATCGACAGGTAGGTTTGGTTAAGCAAAGTGTACAGGTGGGGACGACAACGCTCTACGCGTTTGCACCGTTCATGAGGAACGTGACAATACGCTTTTCAATAGCCGACATCGGTTCTCCACTGAACAAAAATCACTAGAAAAGAGTGGGCAGAAGTAACACGGCATTTGGAACTGAAACCAGTGTCACATTTTTCCCTACAGCGCTCTCATGCAGGCGATTGAGCAATAAGCTTCTCCGTGGTTACCACGGTGTACCCCTAACAGTTCAATGCTATCGATGGCGATTCCCTCCTCAAAATATTACGGACACAGGCTGGAGTGGAGGCGCTGTACCGACATCGAGAAGGCTGCTTTCCTGGCGTACTACCAAATCTACGGAGAACGCCTTGGCATCAAGGGGGCCAGAGAATGGAAGACCTGGGACGACGCCCATGCTCACGCGCAGTCCTACGAGGTAGACACCAATTGGACTGGTTGAAGAAAGACAAAAAATGACGGCGTCCGTGCTTTATTGGAAGCCATATCCCTCGCCTTTACCTGGTACCTGTTCTTCTGGCGTACCAGACGTTTGCCCCGAACAGAATGTTCCCGTGACAGCGCTCTACACAAGTGGTGGTTTCCAAGATCATAGGAGGGTAAATGCAACGAATCTTCTTCGGCGCAGTCTGTGATATCCAATGGTCGATTTCAGTCGAGCGCACCGCCACCTGTCCCTCGCTGAATAGGCCTCGCATCATGTTGTTGCTCAATCGGCCCCGCCACCACGAAGTCCTCGACGGCTCACCCAAACAAGTGATCGCGACTCCTCCCCCGCGCACCGTGGACTGTTCCCTGATCGAAACAAAGGCGGAATACTTTCAACGCTCAGAAGGCGTCGAGGAGCTCGTCAATCAGAACATGGACCTGTTACTCTCATCCGTCCCGTCATTCCTGAAGCCGCTCGGCCGGAAGGTGGTGTGCGTGCTGCTGGACCCCCCCCTGTTAGAGGTCCTCGGCTTGTCGGAGGTATATACTGTTGCTGCCGTTGTGGCTATCCTTTTTGTCGTTGTTATCACCGTCGCCGTTGGTCGTGGTGCTGTCACACGGGACGGTATCCTGTCCAAACTCATTGCATCACTCAAACCGTGAACTTTTAACCTTACTCTGTGAACGGACGATGAGGGCGTTTCTTATACCCTTCGAGTATCCGTGACTTCGTGCGCGTGTCACGAGAGAGGGAGGGAGCAATCACCGCAAAACGCGCAGTTGCTTTGTCATTTTTAAAAGAAGGGTCGGTTGAAGACCGACAGGAAAATCTGCGGCTAGCGTTGGTCTTAATTCATCAGAAAGATGTGATTGAAGTGACTTCGCGACTCAAGAAGCTTACCACGAACTATAGTCTAGATTTCCAGATTTCTTTCCAGGACAAGCCCGGCGCAAAGAAAGGAGAACCCGTGGTAGACCTGCCAGTCTTTGCCCCCTGTCCTAGTTTTTGTTGGGAAGGTAGAAGCCCTAGTATAACACAAACCAGGTTACTCTCGTACCGCAAAGTGGTACACCGATACGACAGCAATCGTGCCGGTTGAGCGAATCCATGGGGTGTGGCCGTACCCTCCGACGCCACCCTCTTGCGACGTGTGCCATTCCGGAGTCTACGTTCTGGCGAACACGGGATGAAAAATGAGTTCCTCCACCCCGCTCCGACATGTCCTGAACAAAGCAGGCTCCTCTCCTCCTCAAGTGGTTCTCCAATGCAGCGATCAAGCTCCGAGCCATGGTCCTTCTCTACCTCGTCCCTCCCCGCTTGTTCCCGGCACGCCGCACTCCTGCCAGTCGTCTCGGCTGTGTGCCATCTCAGTGCCTCGCCTCAAACGCCGGGGGCGTAAAGTCTGCCGGTATCCCAGGCAAGTCGAGACCCTCCCTTTTTCTACAGGTAGGAGTGTGTTTCTTCCGAGAACAATCCACCTGCCGACATCTCAGGCAAAGTCGAGAACTTTCGTTTTCTATGGTAGGAGTTGATTTCTTCAAAGAATGACCCACCTTTCGCCATCGATGAAGGATTTAATTTATGAAACTGCGGGACAACATGCCCCCATCACCCCTTCACAAAAGAGGGCACACATCTCAACAATTTTCGTTGTCGGAGATATGGCATCAATTTGATAGCTCTTCGTCCGTTCCGCCTTGTGCTTTGCGCGACCAACGCGACAGAGGATGCTGACGTCGTGCGGGTGCCCCAGTTCTCCCAGTTCCACGACGCCAAGCAAGGTTGCTTGTTCTACAAGAATGGGTACGTCCCTCCAGGCGATTCATGGCCACACCCGCTCTTGGCTTTGCCGTATTGAGCGAATACGGCCGACGTTGTAGCGTGAAGAAATGGAAAGTAGCAAGGATTGCCCGATCGAGTTGTTTAACGTCCAACACAAGTTAAAGAGACCCTACATGCATCTGTCGCTTGTCACCCGTTGGAGAGGGAAAAGGGGTTCGACGATTGGAAGCATCGTCTCGTTTACTGGTCTAACAGCTTCGATGATGCTTGGGAGTGTTTATGGCAAGCTCATGTACACCCATGTGTCATCATAGACAAGCTGACACCCACCCGTCCGCCCTCTGCATCGTTCTAGGGCTAAAGTAGGATCCATATCGTATCCTTGATGATATCGTATCCCTGGTGTAGTCTAGATGATCGGCTTTGGAGGTGCTCGGTTCTGCGTTCGCTGGGACTTACATGCATATCGTCACAACAATAGACTGATTCTGACGCCGCCCCGTATCGTTGAATGCGGACTCGGCAATCAAGCTACCAAATCAAGAACGTGGGGACCCGCAAATGTCCGGCGGGGCGCCTGATGGAGAAAGGTGTGCCGGTCTTCACCGGGACCGGCGCCGGTGGAAGCGCGACCAACATCAACGGCTGGGCCGCCAAGAAGAACTTGCCTGCTGAGAGTAAGAAGGCGGCCTGAGTTGGCAAAGAAAACAATGGCAGCAAGAAAAAGGGGTGATACATCATTATACCAAGACGAAAAAGCCGCACACAAAAAACATGGGTACATGTACTATAGTCTATATGATGGTTACACCCTGCACGGTTTCTCAGGTTCTGCACTGTTATGATATGTATCGCACATGGTACGGTACATGAGTAGGCTCAGAACAGCAGTGTGAAAATGAAGGAGGGACGGTTGGTTTTGAAGAACAAACTGGCTTCTCATATTTTACACGGGAGAAATATGCACATGCACTTGTAAGTAAGCGAGTTTCTTTGATGCCTCTGAACTAAACACCTACTGCATAGAGAGAGCCTTTCGTGGTGCTCACCACGTGGTTTGTTGTGTTTTAATCAGTTTGCTTCTGGACCATTGTTCGATTCTCAATGTCTGTTACGTTCCTAGCACTTCGGTTGTTAGATGGATGTATCAAGTCTATACAAACTGTAGGATCGGCGGACCTGTGTATGTGGTACCACAACCGGCACATGGACATAGTTGTAGACACATTGGATGTTCATCGTGCCCCACAGCCTCCCACCTAGAGTAAGCATCGTAGCAGAGGCGTACAACCCTGTGCACCTCGGACGATAACCGATATCCGCAGTTGTATCGTTAGCAGGGATACGCTTGAATCGAAGGGGTCTCGGTGCCGTGCTTGTTCCTCGAGCATCAAACGATTTAGGTCGGGGAGGGTGTTTGTCTGCATTCAAGCGATACCTTGTCGTTTTTGTGCGGTCGGCGTGTCCTTCGGAGCGATTCAACACACATTGTACGTTTTCAATTCACGGACGATCACGTCGGGCTTCCAAGACTAAATCTGTCGGGCTTACAATCCTACGCACCGGTGTTTTCTATGAGCGAATTGTTTCTGTGTTTATATCGCAACGAACGTAGTCGACAGATGTGTGGGGAAGGAGNGGGGGGGTCGTTACATCTGTGGCCGTTCGGCATGAACACGGAGTGGAGTAGGATGCAGGAGGAGAGGAGCTGCTGTGAAAGCAATTTTAAGTGAGTGGGAACGTTTTGGGTTGGTAATTTGTTCAGTACATATTTCAGCCCTCGTTTTAGTAGCAATTCTCGGCCCCGTTCGCCCAGACCCTTCGTCGATAGGAGGACAGGGCAGCAACAGCTTATAGACTATTAGCAGAAGACAGTTGTTCGGAAGATGAAAATCACGAGGGGAAGCAAGAACAGTCAGTCGTGCTCACAAAAACTGTCGGCTCTTCCCGCTGCTGCTTTTTTCTCTCTGTGCATTGTATGTACAGCCAGCAACACACATACCATCTGTTTGCGGCCTACGCCACTTATTTATCGGGTGAGACTGTTTTGGTGATGTATTAACTTCACGGGAGGTAGACGACCATCCTTCACACGGACGAAAGAGGAAGTGCTCAAAGAGCGGCTCCCACAGCAAGGAGGGGCCCCGTGAATCATCGCGGTGCCCCCTATCAAACGGTTATCTTACCAGTCTGCGTGACACAAAATCATCCAGCACATGTATCCAACAGCAATGTTCG